AAAAAATATAATTAGTAAAAAAAAAAAATTTACTATTGGCATTTGAACTGTTCGGTGACTTTTGGCCACCCACTGTACAAGTTGATTACAAGAGAAACAGATAGCAAGTCCAATTTCAGGTGAAAAGCTTTTCCAAGTACTATTAATTTCATCCCAAAGTAGTATTTCTTTTCTAGCTTCAAAGTATCTTTTGTTAGGTAGAAGATTATTCTCCCTGAAATACTGTAATCGAGACCAAATTCGATTCATCCATTCTGTAGGAGTCTCATTTGATGAAATAATACCCATCTTTAGAAGTTCAATCCATCAACATCAGTACTATTAGTTCCACGTCTTTCACTTAAGCTAGACATTGTTTATAACCTAATTATAATGTTTTTAGAGATTATGTGATTTACTGTATATCGAATTTAGGGATTTAGACCTATTTGATTTTGATAACTATATACTATAAAATATATTGATTCAATTTTAGTGCAGATTGGATTCTCTTCAAGAGTGTTATATTCATTATATTTCGTGGGTATTTGTGATAAGAATAAGAAAGATGTATATGTATATTGTTTGAGTCAATCATTAGAGGTTATTTATTGCAATAGTGAATTTCCATATTTCACGAATTTGTGCATATAATATATTATATTTTTTGGCTAATATTGGTAATGCATTTGCTGTATCCTTAGCGGTATCACTAATCGCTTCAGGTGATAATTGAGTTGCACCTGTTTTTAATTTTCTAAACATTTGTATATTATTCCAAAAAAATAAGTTACGGTTTAATAATTTACAAATTCAAAAGTTATGTACTTATCTCAGGTAAAATTTGTATGAATTGAGTATGGATTTCTTCCCATTCTTTCATCAGATCATCTAGCCATGCAGTACTTAAACCACTCTTTAGTATACTGCAACGTAATAACTCTTCTCCAATTAGCCTATCCCGATCTGTTAAAAATTTATGATATTTTCTAGGGTCTTCTTTACTTTCTATACCTCCACGATAGAACCGTATATCTCTATCCAAGTCCTCACGAAAACATTCTCCATCCCATCTTTTTTTCTCAGCCTCAGTAATGACTGCAAATTTCTCGGGATCTATTTTATGTTTGACAGCATATTGACGTAAGCCTGCCTCTGGTTGATAAAAATGATTTTTGTTTAGATAAGTTGGTGAATGAGATTCTGTTTCTTGAGGCTTGTTCGACACACTTTCAGGCAAACTTTGTACAGCAATTATAACTTTCTTTTGATCGATACGGAAAGGGCAATTAAGAAAATAGTGATCGTTTTTACCTAGACAGCTCCAGTCGCCCCATATTCCTAAACGTGTATGTACCTCTTTACATATTGGGCATTTGGCTTTTGAATCAGTATATTTAAAAACATCCCGATGCCATGCATTTGATTTAGTATATGACAAGAAAGGGAAATGTTTATGTACTGTTTTAATAATCACATCTTTCTCTTCTGGAAATTTAGAAATCTTGATAATACAGTCTCGTGAAAGATGATTATTGGTATTTTCAATTTGTGAGAATTCAGCATTTTCGATTTGTGAGGATTCAGCATTTTCGATTTGTGAGGATTCAGCATTTTCGATTTGTGAGGATTCAAAGTTTCAGACTTTATCCAAGGATTGAGTCCAGTCTCTTCCATATATGCTTTATATAATCTAGAAAGAATTTTATCTGTATGTGAACTTGGTAAATCAATTAAATTAGCATGCCATTTGCAATAGTCATCAGTTAATATCTTGCTAGAGGTAGTATCAGAAGACATGTTATCGTTTTATATTAATGCAAGTTAATTCAAAATCACGTAGCTGTAAGAAAAAAAATATTACTATCCACTTGTCCAGGTTTATGTAATTATTTACTTATGCTGTGATCTCAATTTCATGTCCCCCGCATTTAATAAAATAGGACCCAGCTTCATATCTACCCCTTATGTTCTTCTCATCCTTATGCCTCGACTTGCACGCTGGACATAACGACTTATCAAGAATCCCATAGTAATCAAACTTTTCACTACTAAACTCTCTATATACATCAGGATATCGACCTAATATCTTATTACGAAAATAATCACGATTATGAGTTGAATTAGATGATGCATTTATTTTAGTTCCTGGTAAGGATTTGTTATCTTCACTTATTATATCTTCCGAATTGCTGAAAACAGTCACTTTGTGGCTAGAGATATGAGATGATTGTATAGAGGGAGAGGTTATAGTACTTACCTCTGTTTCAGACAAGGTTTTCTTGGTTTCTATAGTCACATAATTTTGATCGTGACCATTTTCCTTATTTTTGGTCACGATTGATGCTATACGATTTATAATATTTAAAATTTGGGTATCGGTTAATTCTGATTTACTTCTTGTTCCATATGAAATTCCGTAAACTTTGTCAATACCTATACCTTTAACTTCTTTTTTAGTTGTGGGATCGATAGTCTTTTCAAATAATTTATAAACGCTTCCAGCTCTTTGCGTTTTCTTGCGTAGATTTGCTTCTGAAACTTTAGGTAAGGAAGCTTTAATTATAGCATAAACTTGACTCTTTGCGGTTTTCTCACTGACACCAGTTTTAGTTCGAATTTCAGCAACAGTGTTTTGGTATGATTTTCTATAAGTATACCAACATATAATTTCTTTCTGCTTAGCCTTTATTGTTTTTCCTTCTGCAATTTCAGCATCGGAAAATAATCGAGCTAGCTCTCGCCCATTTTTATCTTCACTCACTTTTATAATGCTATCTTGAGTTTCAGGAATATTAGTTAATGAGGTAAGCATTTTTTCTTTTTGAATAAATAAGATTACTTCTTGAATTATACCTTGCTCTATTTTCTGATTGTATGGTATTTTTACTTCAGAAGAATGGAACTCTGCTTTTCTTACCTGAACAATAGAAGGAGATTCCTGATTCGAAATATACGTGTCTTCTCTAGTTTGGCCTTTATTAATAGAAGATAAGTCTTGATCCCGAAGTTTCTTTTCCCTAATTCTCTCCATTATCTCTTTACTAACCCGTTCCTTATACTGCAAATTCAGAAATTCATTTTCTTCCTTCTCTTCCAATGATATAGTTTCTACGGGAATAGAAGTTGTAGGGCATTGGGTTAAAGGTATATCGGAGACTCTAGACTTCGTCTCTTCCTGACATACATCAGAATTTAAAGCATTATCAGATATATCAGATGCCAAGACATTATTGGATACATCAGATATCGGAGTATCCTTATTCTGCAAGACCGTTTGTTCAGAGGTATCATCAGAATTTGATGTGTCATACCTCGTAGAGGGGCCTGAAGGCCTGGTTATTTCAGATGCAGGAGTAATATTAGATACAGTGTATCCTGCTTCACAGACCGAAGATTGTGAAATATTAGTTATACTTTTTTCTCCCTGCTCTAACTACGTGATTCTGGCTTCATGCCCTTCTATATCTTGTCTTAATTTAGCATTCTCATTTCTAAGTTCAATATTCTCAGCCAAAAGCCTAGCGTTCTCCTGTTTCAATAGATCTAGTTCAGATTTGGTATTTCCCATTGTTTTGTATAAGATACGAATATATTCAAATAAAAATATGCAATATACCCATAATGAGCGAATTAAGGCTCGCTGATATATTTACACAAAAATCTTTATTTTGATTATCTGTGATCGATGTTTGATTATTACATGAATAGAAATGCGATTAAAATCTTTATTATATATAATACTTTTGAGAATTACGCCACGAAGAATTACATGATATTTTTGTAATAAAACAGCAATATGAAAACGTTATTTCTTATACTGCGCTGGTAGGCCTCTTCTTGCGGGTTCCAAATCTATGAATGGAAAATATAAATAAACAATCTACAAATACAAAATAACCTTGCCCTTTTATAATAGATACTTACCGAGATGACTCTGCCTGTGGTTTCTTAATTTTATTGTAGATTTCCGAGAACCCAACTTAGGGGGAGAATATTTTCGCGGTTTCTTGTGGTGTCTTTCAGCATTATCTGATATATCTAAATCTCCATCATCGAAAAGGGAGCTAAATTTTCGTTTTTGCTTTATAACGGTGTCGTGTAAATAGAAGACAACACTATGCCTCGACCCAGCCGTTATTGGAAGATTCCCATGAATTAAAAGATGCGATCGGAAAGCTATCGCCTGTCCTTGTTTGGCGTTAATTGCCAATTTTAACTCGGGAAATGCCAGTTGTCCACCTTCAAACACCCCCAGAGGACAAACAACGCATAACGTATTGCGATGATCTTTCAGATCCCGATGGAACTGGCAGATATAGTTAAAGTTTATACCGACAGTTGGGAAGGCTCCAAAAGATTTAGGGACGTTGGGACCTAGATCGAGTTTTCTCATTTTTTCATATAATGCTGGATAGATACTATTAATATAATTGTTAACCGCATCCGATATTGGTTGAAGCCCCCGAATCAAATCTTGGACGCATTTCTGATGCTCTTGACAGTGGGTAGAAGCGGTGCTCGTGGTGGTATATGGTTCATTATTGCTGTCAGTGAAACAGCCGAAATGCTCAATCAGGTTCTTAGTAAATTGATTGGACCAATGTGGAGAGTTGTTAAGAGTGTGGTTATAGTATTGATCTACTACCACTTGCGCAGTTTTCGTAATTAAGGGGTTATTGAGGTCAAAGAAATCAATTATTGTTTCACTAACAGCATTTTTAAAACACTGAGGTTGATAGACGTATTTGAAACCATCGAGATTAATACCACCCGCAACCTTCTTCGTCATCTCATCTGCGATAAAAAGTTTGTCATCAGGATGTCGTAGGAACACTTCTGGAATATCGTAAAGTTTTGGGGGATTCCTTTGAGTCTCCACTTGTAGTTTATACGCGTACTTCGTTTTTGTCCATAAGCGATGGCAGTAATGTTTAAATTTCTTTTTATAATTAGGTACCTTCTCGAAACCTGTCCACTCTTCAAACTTTTTCCATAATTCTGAAGTCGTTGAATCTAAAGGAGCCGTCTCGCAAAAAATCTCAGACTCTAATAGTTCCAAGTATCGTGGTGGTATTGGCGTGAACCGGCTAAAGGTTAAAGAGTTTCCACTATCGTCGAGGTTTGACTTTTAAATGATCCACCTTTGATATCTTTTTTCTATGAATTTCTCTATAAATGTGAACTTTGAATTGATTAATGTGACGTACTGCGATATATTAGTCGATTTAAGATCCTCTGCGTCGAAGTCCTCGGAAATCATTCTTGATCGAATATAATTACGAGTCTCTTCTTTTGTAGATCTATCTGTGTCTTATGCTTAAAAAAAAATAATTAATTAAACCTTAATCGATTACAATAAGATCCAAAGACTCCTATAAACGTGTATAAAAAGATCTGGAGGTGGATATACAAGCAGATTACTTCTCGCCTATTAGCTTGGTAGTTTAAACTCCAGGGAGCTTGTCTGGATCTTCCTCTCCTTGCCAATAGACAATAATAATCTGATGATCTCGCCCCATAAAAATAAAGTAAGAGCTTTGCATGAGAAAGTTCAATCAGCCCCAAGACTTACCTCGAAAGGCGATGACTGCCCCTATTTTTCAAGCCCCACCTTATATCGTACCATAAAAAATAGAGGCAAAGCCTCATTACTCTGTAATAATCCCTCTGACTATATACTCACTTTATCTGGATCGTAGAAAATCTCGATCATTTCGTTGTCCTGGTTGTTTCAATTATCATAGCCAGTGTCGAGGGTAGGGTACTTTTTTTATTTATTGTCTCTTTGATGGAATTCCTAAGTTCCGCTTTTTTTGCATATCGTACTAACTTCTCGCGTAGGTTTCGTTTATATGCCTTTTAAGGGGTGGACCCGTTTCATTTATTGATAGACACGTCCATTGCTTCTTTATAACGACCCAGAATATACTGTAACTCTTGTGTATTAATTAATAGGCAGAAACGTACAAAAGCAATGCTATCCGACGAGCCATTAGGATTTTATTCCTAGAGCCAATGGTCCTACTCAGTGGAATAGCTGACTTTTGTAGAAAAAAAAGAAGTGAGGTGAACGTAATCTGGTAGGTATTTATACGTCGATCAGCCAATTGGAAAATGCGCCAATCGCCGCTTGAATAATGACTGAAACGCTAACGCATATATAGTGCGTTATCTAATTTATTATACTTTATATTCCGCAGATTCCTATGGAAAGAAAAGTTTATCGGATGGATAGGTAACCCAAAATCATATAATCGAAATTTCTGTCACGTGAGGGCGATACTCGCGCAATCTGAGAATATATTTATTGATACGGTAAAAAATAAATTATATCGGTCTAAACAACACATTATGCATGATGTAGGGAAGATACTGTTGAACTATCCTCTATATTTCGACTAGATCTAGGTAGGGATGCATTATATAGCAAAGTCATGTTAACAATTAGAATATTTCGTAATATTAATAAAGACTCTACAAATTTCGCCACGATAGAAGAGTCCGATTGCTGGACAGGAATTTCTGATTCATGAAGGTGATAATATCACGTCTAGTATTCTCCTCCATAATCCACTTTAAAAGTTTAGCTTTTTCTGCCTCAAGCTCGGCATTCTTAACCTCAAGTTCAATGATACGCTGTTTCAATACTTCAAGTTCGGATGCCATGATTGATAAACTTTATACAAGAAGTGAAATATTTAAATGTTAGTTAGTATATACTGTATAAATATACATAGAGACTTGTGGCATTTTACCAAGAGAAATAGGTTATAAAGTCACCAGATTTCCGGGACCGCGCGGTCTCAGAAAAATGCCAAGAAAATTTTTTATTATTAAATGCAAAAATAAATACAAGATCGGGACGTAGCCCGTGATACATATTATTTTTTGATAATTTTTTTGATCCTAGCCCTCTTGCTAGTCGGGAAACTATCTACACTAACCCGATCCTTCAACAACTCTACAATTATGCCGATTACCCTTTTCACGTTGTTAAGGAGGTATGAGGCGTAATTAGTATTGTTGTATGATGCCAAAAGTTCTATGAAGACACATGCCTTTATGAAAAGGAGAACGAGTTCCTAATTGAAAAAAAAAGCTAAGAATAATACACAGGGGGTGACATCGGTGATAAATAAAATCTATTTTTAGAAGCGGGTCGGGATTACTGTTCTATAATTAGTAACTAAATATGGAACCAGTTCAATTACAGCTGAAAAGAACCCCTATAAAAAAATTTTCCCTGATTTAATATTCCACATTATTCTTATTCACGGGATTTATAACCACGAAAATGGAATTTAACGAAGTTGCTCCTTTTATCAGAAAATCACGGAAAAAATTTTTATATCCAACGGATATAACTCTGATAGAGATGGGTGATTATTTTCGAAGGCGGACAGGGAGTTTTCAGTCCCTATAATTGTATCCCGAAATTTATATTATCTACGCATTGTTTAAAAATAGGGGCCGAAAAATCCAACTACTGTAGCGTTTTTGTCGCCTTCAAAAACAATTACCCAGATAAATGTTAATAATAATAATAATTAATTAATTAACTGTTGATTAATTTGTCAAAATTAAAGATGACGATACAGGATGTGTTGAATTGTAATCTAAATAGGTTCCCATTCTCTGACGATCCTCTTAAGATAATGCTGCTTACAAAATGGCGTGATCTTTATGTAAATCACGTTTTTTTTTTGAAATTTGATACTTTTGACTCGGATTACCCAGATTTTAAGCCATTTTTTATGTAAAAGCACCAGGAAATCGTCACGAATTTCAAAAAATATTCTTTCAACACTCGCATGCTTCATTTTGAAAACGGCGATAAACCGCCAGTCATTATTCAAATTTTATTCAACCTCTTACTTGAAATCAATTACAATGAAAATTATCAGTATGATGAATATATTCAGATTGGTTTGGCATTTGAAGATAACAATTTTTATATAAATATGTCTAAATTCTTACCTTCACAGTTTATTATCAACCTTTACTATTAAATAAATTCATTAAATTCATTTAATATCTTTATTTTCCACACAAGAATTTCTCTCTCACTTTTCTTTGCCTTTAAACAATCATGAAATTCATATCAATTTTATTCATTTTTTTGGTATTTGCCATTGTTATGGTTCATACATCTCCCGTAACTCCCAGAGCTCCTGAAGAAAAAGTAGGACCCCATCTAAAATCTATTGCGGTACAACGTAACGGTATCTATGCTAAACTTTTGAAAAAGTTGAACACGATCAATGATGAATATGAAACACATTTCAAAATCTTTGAAAAGGAATTACCAATCGCCGCAAAAAAGGATAATTTACCAATACCAAAATCTTTTCCGGCATGGAATGATGCATATGTAGAAGATGTACATAAAGTAAAAACAATCGCTAAAAGATTGCACAAAAGAATCGAAACTGCAATTGAAAAAGCAAAATATTATCACCCTTAAATATTAATATAATGCTCATTTATTTATTTTTATTCTAAATTTAATAAATTTAATCCTAATTTTTTTCTCGTATTTTATTTTTATATGACAAGTAGTAGTAAAATAGTTATAAATCTTTACTATATTTGCTAATAAAATCTCTTGTCATTTACATCTCTTCCGTTACTTGTTATAATTGGTGGTAATAGTAACACTTGAAAAAAAATGCGTCACGTTTCAGAGGTATGTAAGTGGAAAAAATGTGAATGCATGGATAAGTTCCACAGCATGCCGATCACTTTTCAAATTCTCGATACATGTATACGATATAAAAAAATACGAATCATATAAAAGGTCAAATCATGTATTTTTATTTTTATTTTTCTTGTAATATATTGCGAGTGGAACCGGCTAATTAAAAACGAACTGAGTAGCGAAATTTAAAGGGAGGAATAAAGCATAAATGCCTGCCGGCCCCTGGACCCCTCGCAAAGCGAAAATGGCAGCTCCTTTCCCGCTACTCACTATTAACTGCAATCCTTTCAAAATTATTATGGTGGGTTCGAAGGGTGCGTTCAATTTCGTCGAGACGATTGATAGAAGTATTAAACAATGATAAGATCCTTTGGATTTCCACAGTAAATTTTTCATCTTGTGAGATAAGTTCAGAATTAAATTTAGCATCACGAGAAGCGAGTTCGGTTGCGAATCTGGTATCACGATTCGTGAGCTCGGTGGTAAATCGGACATCACGAGCGGTAAAAATTTCATTAAACATCGTTTCATATGCGGGGAGATCGGCATTATACCTGTTGGTGCGTAAAGAATACAACGTGGCACCGGCAATCAAATAAATAGAGATTTTCTCTACGAACATCAATAGGCTGGCGAAATTCAAAAATGGATTGATTTCCGAAACAACAAGCGATGTCATCTATAAGTGGAAATTTGGCTGTTAGCATATATACACGAGTGTGGGGGAGATGTCATAGCGTATAAATAAATAAAATAAACCTTAATTATTAGAAAACAAATAGCGTTAAGTGTATAAATTTTTTATTGTTAATTTATCGTGGAAAAGTGTGCTAATATATATTAGCAGAGCCTTTCCGAATCGTTATTTATTATCTTGTTTTCGTTGTTCCTTTTTTAATTTGGGGTAAAGGGAATCGCAGATATTTTTCTTCACCTTTTTATATAAAAAATCACAGATCAGAATTTATTTATAGACTTGGGCGTAAAGGACAAGAAATTGCCAGAACTTTTTATTGCAGAGCATGCCTATAGGGCGACTAGGTACGTAAGCACCATTTTTTCAAAATAGAGTCATGGGTAACCCCTACACCTTGCGTGTTAATTAGATCGATAATTGTTTTCTCGTCATATTCTCATCATCAATTGGATATACCACCAACTTCGACAATTATCCCAGATGTATGACGAATTCAAACAATAAACCGATCTTCTAAACTAACCTGATTAATTTCTGTCGAACAATTGCCAGGGATGCGTTTAATATCGACGTAATAAATACACAACGTGTGGTTTCGTTGGCGTTAGTCTGCATCGTTTCCAGATTTTTAAAGTCTCAGTATTATTTCATTCATACACTGTCCGAGGGTTTTGTCGTCATCATCGATTTCCTCAAAAACTATAAAGCAGAAAAAATGAATTAATATATGTTTGGATTTTTGATCATGAATTTTACCAAGAAATTTACGAGAGCACGCGGTCCCGGAAAAATGCCAAGAAAAAATACCACATACCCGGAATGAATTGCTTGATGCTCGTTATATCCTCCCCATTAACTTTATATTTACGGAGCACGTCTTTTAATTCTTCCAGAGTCTTATATGTCGAAAAGCCTCTTAATTTTTGCTCTGATATCTCTTCGATGAAATCAACGAGAATAGTTGCCGGTCCACC